CCTGAAAAAACTGGACGGCCGTTTCGTCCTAGCATAGGACTCCCCAGCAGTGCGCATCCACGACCCCGCTTACGGGGCTCGAACCCAGGACCTCGCACGAACGATTAGCTTCTAGACCACTGATCTGGCATCCAATGGTGATAATGTCCAATTTCAGCCAATCCTTGATCTTGCCCAACCAGTGCTTCCAGGTGGTGCTCTAGCTTAGATCGACTAGTAATTTCAACTGTAAAAACTGGTAATATGTTTCGTTGTACTTTATTCTGTTTACTTAATATGAGTACAAAATATTAAATGGAGAAATTTCGACTGTTCATTATACATTTTATCGTATATTGATTGTTAAATTCATCACAACTGTGTTGCTTGTATTTATTTCCTTGTGTTTGTTGCATAAAACGTTAACATTTTTGATATTCTTCTTTTGTTAAATAGCTTAACAGCAGACGTGAATTGTTATATAACTTGTCATTATCATATCAACCAAACGCTTTACAAGCTTTACAACAGCGTGAAGAACGTGAAGGTCAAGTACCACGATGGATCACATATGTACATGGTCCAGGTGGACGTTTAGAAGCTGTGGACCGTGAAGAAGCTGGTACAAGTTTAAGATCACATAGCCAATTGATTTACAATGCTGAAGGACGAATAGCGCATCTTCGTATAGCTACATCAGATCCTCAGCTACCATCGAATGAGCGGTCAGAGTCTGGATTAACAAGTCGTTCAGAAGAACTACAGTTCATTTATGACTCAAGAGGTTTATTGGCAAAACGAGGCAACTGGTACTATAATTTTGACGAAGATGGATTCCTGATAAAACGCCATTTACATAATTTTTATATTACAGATCAATTTGCTTACAATAGTAAAGGATTGTTGATATGGGCCGAGCGTGCAGTTGACAAAAGTGTTGATTCATCGTCCACTGACAATTTTCATTCAACACCATCGTCATCATCACCATTGGATCAATGGGCTTTAGAAGATGACGCCGGTTTAAAGCGTTCTTACTCAGTTCAATTCATTTATGATTCTGAAGATCGGTTGATAATTGTGCGTGATACTTTAATTGTACGGGATTCAGTTCAATATTTCTACGCTGATCCCAAACACCCTACACGTGTAACACATATTTTTAATCATGGACGTTTGAAAACTATCCGACTGTTATATGACCCTATACATGGTCATGTATTTGCTTTAGAACAATATGATAATGGTGGTTTAAATACGAATAATGGTAAAAGAAACTATCTGAATTCTAATAGTATTCCATCTCCAATGAACTCCTTCGATGATAATCAGTTTCATCATGATTCTACTAATTCGGCACAAAAACGTGTATTTTTCATAATTACTAACCATGAAGGTAGTCCAACTGCCGCATTTTCCGAGAATGGAAAGGTACGTATGAATTATTTTCCTTATATCTGTATGTTTCAATATCCTAAAGTAAGTACAGAACAGAGAACACCATTGTTTTCCTCATATAGGGACCTAGATAGTGATATATTTATAGAGCTGTATTGAACTTCCTATATCGGTTAAACGACACAGTCGTAAATGCGACTTAATAACAATTTATATATTCATGCGGCAAAACGTTAATGGAATCTAATTGGTGCATGCATTTTTAATAATATTATTCAATTGTTAGTGGACAGAACTGTATTCGAACTCATGACTCAACCTTCAAATGGTTAAATGCTAAGATATTTGAGACAGAAATAAAAGGGGTATTGTTCCTTTACAGTAGTCAATTTGATACATTAACTGCCAAAAACTATTTTTATGGAAAGAATTCACGTTTAAATTGAAAATAAATGTAAAAGAAATATATCACATCCAATTCTTCTCAAAAATATATGTTAGTATAATCTATAACATGTGATTAACAGCATTAGTATCTTAAAGTTGGCACGTTTTCTGTGTTTAATCACATTACTATAAAAACGATTTGTCCCTTAATCAGTATCTTGTTTTTTTTAATAAATGATTCAATAGGTACATTGATTTATGAACTAATCCATGTTAACTCTGATACACAGTGTTATTTTTCGTTTTAACTCCAGAACTCTTCTGTGATCATTACGTACAATAACATACTACTAATGTTATTGTTTAGACAACGTTTATTAAGTATGCGACAATTGTACTATGACTTGTACTATCTAAACTTATGTTAATTTAATTTGGTTATTTATTTACTCTGGAGAAGTGGCTTATATTAGGTCATGAAACCTCAGAAATACAATTTTTCTACTCATTGGGATATAAAAAATAGTTATTATTATACTAATAACGATCATCATTACGGAAATAATTACATCGACAGATGCCAATGATACTAAAGTTATTATAGGTCCCTTTGGTGTCTCTAACTTATGTTTAGTAATAAATATACACTTTAAAAAGAATCACTAGTAGGCTATTACTTTTAAACGTACATTTGTGTTAGTGGATATAATAACTTTTTTCATTGTAACGTATCCAGTAATTCGTTTTACCATGTGGACTAGTGAAAAATAAAATGAATTATTTTGGTAACTTTAAAGCTTTTATTGCTTTGTGTATTAAAAGTGTTTATCAATGATAAGAATTGTAGCGTATAATACATCAGATGATAGTCTGAGGACAAGTCATCATTAAAGCTAAAAAAGAAATTTATTCATGTTATGCTTTTTTTAATATCAATATTTTTTATGCTCTATCCTCAGTTGGCATGGGCTGCTGAATACTCCGCTACAGGAAGTCGACGTCTAACATTATCTAGCCGCAACAATTTCTTCACACGTGCCCTTATTGAAGAAGTTGATTTACCACTGGGTCAGGCCTCGTGCATTACCGATTTTCATACTGGATTTCTTTTCTGTCCACCAACTAGTCGTGCATATGATCCCCTTGGTGCAACATTTACTAGTCCGGATTGGCGAGGCCTTATTTCCACTCGACTTTCGAATGTTAAACGTGATCCATCAGTATTAGATACTCACAAATGGGGTCTGACTGAACAAGAAGCGTTAGGAACTGGCCCGAATGGTCTCTTTGCAGAACTTCGTAAAGCTATGACATCACCTATTTGGTGGCTTAAACAAGTTGGTTTCAATCTGGACAACTTTCTGACAAAGTTTGATACGTTTGAAGGAAAGGTGGATAGCAGTAAAAACTCACCCAAAAATTCATTGCCTTTATTTCCAATTGATATTTCATCCATTCATTCATTTGATTGCATTCATAACCAAGGTTATAAACAGTTAAACAGCAAATTTGAGCATCTCAGTATGTTGAAGTCTAATCAGTTAACTCCTGGTGGACCACATGGTAGTGGACTATCAAGCTTTCTTCTTGACTCAACAGATGTTAATGATGAAATGTCTTTGCCTCTGTTACCCCCAAACACAATGTTCGGACCTGAAGTAAGTTTACAACAATTCATTTTAGGATTTTTATGTTAGAACGGATTTCCTATCAACTCCATTGCTAACAACGGCTCAGTATCACTTTACTTTCTCAACCTTTGTTATCTCGTATAATCTAATTGCATTTATTTTTATAGTACTCAGTGTTTTTAAATAGAGACTCAGGTTTCCTGGAATTATTGCACCTATAATTCAAGTTAAGAAAAGTAGAATTTTGGATAAAGTGGCTATAAGTCATATAAACTGACACTTTCCAATTTCACTCTTACCAGATTACATAGATTTCATTTCGTTTCCTAAATGAGTATGTTTATCGTTTAAGGAACTTTCACGCAACTTAGCACATGCTTTTACAGAGTAATTTCAGTCAAAATCACCATACTAAATGCTAAAATTCAAAGTATTTTCAATAGCTACTGTCATGAAGACAGAATTACCGAATTTCTGATTGTTCCATTGTTTTTAACTGTTTCTCTTCTTTTTTATCACCTCAAGGTCGGTTATGTAGTTGACGATGATACTGGATCTGTTAAAGTTATCTCCATCAATCAATCCCAGCCAACCAAGACGCAATTTCAAGATGTATCAATCGACGGTTCACTAGAAACTAAACTCGCTTCTATACTTATATCAGACACAAACCTTGTAGATTGGTGGAGTAACTCGAAATCATCCTTCCCTTCCTCTCTATCATCATCGTCAACAACAACAACACAAACAACAGTATCACAGCTCAGTACAACACTATTCATTCAACTGTTTCTATCAACTAAAAAAGATTTTCATTCTACAATAAAACAATTAACTACATTAGGTTTCCAACTACCAATGTATGATCGTGTTAGTGGTATCAATTTAACAATAATGAATACAAATGAATTATGGATTACACGATATAATTTACAGTGGAGAATAAGATATCTCAATTCACCATATCCATTATCACCCACGACAGCATGGTCTGTTCTAGTCAATTCCACTATTGACGATGCTAAAAGACGTGGAGAAACATCAGCTTGGTTGAATGAAGTTAAATTAACGCAGCAATTCATCCCAACACTCAAACCAACACCAACATCAAAAATCGACCATCCTAATATCAATCAAAATGATTTTGTCTATCATAAACTAACATCCAAGTATATTTTGGGATTCAATTACCCATGGAATAGGCACGAACTCAGCGAATTAGTACAAAACAACACTGTTATGAATTATCGTTGGGTTCCAACAATAGATTTTCTACAATACTCATCTTCTCCCTCATTATCTTCTGACACTTCTGCATTATGTAGGCTATATGACCATTCAAGTATGTATCAGATACGACCAAAAGAATTAAATAAACATGAAGAAAAAGATTTGCAAAAATAAACGGAAAATCCCGTTTTCATTGTATATTATAATCAATATTTTTCAAGGTTAGTCTATCAACCACATGTTAGCTTTTTTAGATGTTTTCTTTATCTAAATGATCAAGTTAGAATTGAAGTAATTTGTTGTATTATTCACAAGCCTGTATTAAAAATGGCACAACTAAGTGAAACTGAATTTTGAAATTCCACCCTAATTTCCCCTAGGAAACAAAAAATTAAAACCACAATATGTGGTCTACTTGACAATGTGAAATATCAATAATACTGGCATAAAAACTATGTATATGAGCTGTATAATTACTGAGCCAAATCGGTAATCCTACTTAGCCAAAGCTTGATGGTTTAATTAGCTAATTGTTATTCTGGTTGTTTATGAGATTCAATTCGAGGCTTCCAATCCTAATGAGAATCATGTCTTATCGAAGCGATTTATTAATGATATATAGGGCTTAGTGTTTAAATAGAAAAAAGATAGAAGTTCTTCCAATATTAGTTCAGTTAGCGAAGCAATAAATTTAGGTGTAATTGCAATTAATTTTGAGATTGATTGACACATTACTAAATTTAATCAGCAAGTATTTATGATCATTGTTCTAACAATCATATTATTATTATTGGTTATATTAGTAGTAGTAGTCTTGGAACACAATAGTATTACTGATAAATAGGATATAATGACAAACAATAAGGCTTTAATTATGATCATTTTCGAGTTGTTCCTCTATCGATTAGTTTTTGTTTGATATAACTATGTACAATAAATACCCTATACATGTGAGCGAAGCATAGTGTTTAGATCTTCACTAAAAAAATACCATACATTGTTTAATACTTAATTAATGTAGTCATACAATATCACTGTTGTACATTGAGAAGAAGGAATTCTGTATTATGTGAATGAATAAGTCATATATCAGATTATCTTGAATATCCCTATTTCCAAGGAGACTACATTCCGAAAATAAAAAACCCAATTTAATAAATGGAACACTTTCAAAGAAGAAACTTTTGCTCAGCAAAAAAATAAAAAAGTTACATTAAGAGTTTATTTTATATATTCGTCCTGTCAAAAGTAAAGCTAATGAAAAGTACCTTAATTAGTAGAGTAGTTATTTCGAAAAAAACATCCCCAGACTAATTAAAAACCAGTATGGGTATAGTTTTTGTACTCAAAAGTTCTGTCTTTCTATAATTTTATTGATGAAAGTGATATAAGACGTTTTTTGCCTTTCTCTATCAGATTGTAAGCTTAAAACTTCAATTTTGGCCTTAATTCTACCACAATCTTCCATTAAAGTTAATAATTGGTGATGTAAGTTTCAATAGTCCTTCTATAATAACCACTTTATCTGGTTAAAAATAAACTTTGAATGTAACTTGTTCATATGATATTTTGAAAAATAGTAAGTATTAAAAAGGACGGTTTAAATAAGAAGAAGGAGAGTTTACTAGAACTCCAGACTTCCTCTGCGCATTTAGCAGCTAATTACTTTTTGTGGAAGAGAGCGGAGAAAACGTACCTTGATATTTCTTTTACATCTTGCCTAAAAGATATAACTGATAAGAGATAGTTCTTTCTCTAGTTTTTGTTCATTCCTGAATCATATATAAGAAGCGTTTTGAACAAAATTGATACTTTCAACTCGATATTGTCTACCAAATTGGGGAACCTATAGCTCTGAAAGGTTGTAAGTGGTTGACTTTGAGGAACAATTTCTTAAATCAATAAAAAGTATTTCGCGACTGTGGTGACGGGCGTGACATTGAAATATGAGTTGACTCTAATCTGGTTAATCCACATCTCAGTCAATGAAATATTATTCGGTCGTTGATTCATTCTGTAGGCTTATGGATTCTAGGTTTAATCACTTTCAGTCAGATGTCGTACAAAAGTCGCAAAAAATCTTTCTCTAATACAACAATATGAAACAATCTGTATGTCGAATCCAATTACATTTTGTAAATAATACCTTATTGTTTTTTGCAAACACATTAACTTTTGTTCTTCTGGTTTTACTTTTTTCAGTTAAAGAGAATGTATTGAGGTGGAAATTGAAGACTAGTTCATTGCTACAATAATATTACGTAATCTAAAGAAATATCTGATAAAAATTACTTTGTTCATATTACTATCTGTTATTTTTTGAGCATTTATTCCACGGACTGTGTTCAATCTATTCAACGTCTTTCATGAATGTTTCTTCTTCAAAAACAAGCAATTTATCTACTTGAATGCTTATTCCTCATACATATAAGGGAAGAAATCATTTTTGAATAGAGTTATGGAATAACAATTTAAGAGAAAACAAAACGGAACTATCCACCTCGTCATAATTGTCTCTTTAGCTTCTTATCCACCTGTGAATTTTTTTCTTAATCGGTGCAGACATCTGTTTTTTTTCTTAAAATGTTCCTTCTGTTACTAATGAATGGTTAACGTAAAACACAGAGGGTACACATGTGTATATATATATATTTTTGCGAAATCTTTTTGAAAGGTTATTAAATATATGACAATAATAGTACGGTAATATGATTTTGTCTTTGACTTCATTTTTTCTTGTCACTGTCCACATAATTTTATTATTATTCACAGTCTAAGAAGAAATTTCAAGTTATTTTATTAAGATCTCTTGTTGTAACTAGCGTTTTTTAAGTGTTTCCGTTTTATTTCGATTTTTCTTTTCTCTTAGTAGTAACGTAATGTGTTACGAACATGCAATGCAAATTTATATTTTTTTACCAAAACTATTATTATTAAAAAATGATTTGATTAATTTGTTATCGTTTTAGCTATTCACATTACGACTGCAACTGCCATTACAACTAATACTGATAGCAATATCAGTAATAACTGAGATAGTATTACTATGATAATTTGTTTGTGTTCGCTTGTTTTTTGCCGAACTTGAAATATCACAGAAGCAATACAGAATACTGTATTGTTGATAATCATGATATTATGTAGATTGTTGTGCTTGGTTACCCTGTTATTTTAAGTTATTTTGTTAAGATTATTTTACATTTGACTGACTTTTATGTTGACAAAAATCATCTACGTTTCGGCTTATTCACTCATACACATGTACACTTCCACGATACAATATTACTGCATATATGGGATCTAAATAATGTAATGAAAACTGTATTCGGCGTTATCATGTTTTGTTTATCTGTTCACTAATCCGGTTACATTTTGTTCTTGTCGTAGTCCGCCAAGTACACGCACACATGCATAAATAAATATATTGTTATTCTGCACTCCTCCATTGCATTCTTTCTATCTTTTAAACATTTTATGAAGAATATATTTATTTTTCAATTTAAGTTTATAACTGCATGATTTCGATAATCGTTATTTGTAACCTCCTTTATAAAAAAAAATAACACTGGCCCTTTTCCTGTTTTTACGTATTTGGTCGTGTTTGAGTGTTACGAAGTACCAGGAGAATATTACTGGTAATGTTGTTTTCACTCTCCTCATCTCATCAATGCTGTTATCATAATTATTATACTGTCGCAATAATGTAAAATGGCAATGTAAAAAGTACATTATATATATATCCTGTAAGTACATGTCTTTTCGATTTTTGTGTATGAGTACGGTCTGGTTATCGTGTTATATTGACTAGTATACACGAAATGTATTTAGAATGAGATGCGTCTTTTGCCTTTGTAGTCCTCTACCTCCTATTTATCTTTCTCGAATTTACTTTTCTTATAGCACAAATACCAACAACTGCATTATATTACATTTACCAATGTACACTTTTTTTATAATCAATATAGTCTGCATGCACTAACATTATGCAGCTTTTTTATAGTGAATATAAATGGACTAACAATAATCATTTCATCGTCGTATTGTTCTTCTTCATGCTTTTGTTTTTGTCTATTTCATGATTGTGTAAACAGGCGAAAATAAAGAATGAAATTCAACTTGTATGTCGTTTTTTTTCTCGTGATTAATCTTGGTCTGTATTCACTTCGCATCATTTATATGTATATTAATATTGCAATTAATTATTATTGCTACTTATATGTAGCAAGTGTTTTCTCATTCAAATCGATAACGTAATTCTTTTTCCCAATTCTATTCTATGTAGTCACTATTTTATTTCTGATGAAAAATAATCAATTGTTAGAAATAATTGCATACAAACATTCATTACCTCGCCTATTAAGACTTAGTGAGGAATTGTCTCAAACGATTCGATACTTTTTACTGTTAATACACTATCAATTCTGTGATAAGGTCCCAGACCACTCGAAACTCAATAATCGGCGAATTTACTACTTATATTTATTAGACAACATTAGTCGTTGTTGATTAAAAATTAGACAATCGGTTATAGTCAATTTAGGAACTAGCGCAAATATGTATCAGTCCAATTTATGCTATCTCACATAGGCATATCTAGGAATCATCAAAGTAAGGTATTCTGTCCTCAGATAATATACATAGTAATCTAAACCTATACTAATATCATGACAGTTTACAAAGACTGGGTATCCTCATATGTCTTGCTTCGGTATGCGCTTTATATAATTCCTAGTCTCTAATTATGATTATGATACCTGATTAGGACATTAGTTTTCAGATAATAAGTAACTCGGGATTAGCAAGTGAACATAACTGTTATAACAGTACCCCTCTAATAAATTTAAAATAACTCATTATTCCAGTAAAAATACATCTCTTGATGCACACTACCTGAAAATCATATCAAAAGTGATATTCAGGTTTTACTAACCTTGTTACGTGAACTAGTATATTTATTAATAATTAACCACGTATTTGCAACTAATCTACTGTTATACTAACAATAACTTTCTTTAACATTCTCTGTTCTTTTACGCTAAGTAGTGATTATGGTAAAGTTGTTACTTTGGGGGAATTTTACTACGGAAGTTTAATATATTAGCCTTGGAGCAAAGTATTGACACGGTGCATTACAAATGTGTTCATGTTTCAATCTGAAGAAGTTTGATGTAACT